TGTAAGCATGTCTATAATCACTTGCCCTTGCTGTCAATGTAAATTTAGCTCTTTCATTCGCCATAATTTTTGTCAATAAATTTTTTTGCCACGAATGCCATACAAAGCTAACTAAACTACGGCTGACAAAAATAATCAAGTTGCTGTAACAAAAATAAATCCAAAATTACTGGACCTACTAGTGTTAGAACAGTCATTTACATACGCCCAAACTGTGAAGGAATCCATTCAAAGAACTGACTCACAAAGCAACAACGCGTTGTTAATTATCTTAACAAAACTTAATCTACAAGAAGAGGTATTTAAAACCCTCGAACAACGTCTGAGCGTGCTAGAGCACAATATGCAATTTTTAGATTATGACTAATCGTTTGAAACTATTCTTATGGAATGCGAATGGCTTAACAAAACATAAAAATGAACTCGAAGTCGTATTAAATAGCGAAAACATTGATATCGGTCTAATCGCTGAAACTCATTTTACTAAGCAATCGCATAGAACGTTTAAAAACTGTACTCTATACCATACTATACATCCCGATAATTGCGCTAGGGGTGGCAGCGCTGTCATAATTAGAAACTCGATAAAACATAACTTACTAGAACATGCGCATTAGCCAGTGATTGCCATTTTTCAACAAAACCTGTCTTCGTATTTGCGAGCAAACTTGCCAGAATTTTAGGGAGTCTATTGTCACTCAGATTCATGACGTGATTTATATATTTAAAATTTAGTTTTAGCGTCTCTATATATAAAGTTGACAATCCTGTTTCTACTTCGTTATATTCGTCTATTCCCCATACATGTGCTGCATAAAAGAGGATTGATTTTACCGCCGCTTGAAATAATTGAAACTTTACCGAGGGCGCAACCTCATTTTTCCTAAAATTACTTTCCATGACAAGTTTATTGCATTTCTGGCTTCACTTAACTTTTTACTGAGATGTTCATTGAATTTACCATTATAACTGATCCAAACTCTTAAATATTTGTATTCTTTCACTACTTCTAACGCTTCAACATAACGCTTCATAAAACCGCCAGTTGTCCAACAAAAGGAAATTCTGAAAACATAAGCTGTGCCTTATGCGGAGAAAAGCACACAGCCAACTACAAGGGATGTGAGGTGTACAAATCACTTAAAATTAAACGATATCCTATCATGAGAGAAAAAGTAACACCCGTCCAAACAAGTCAGCAACAATCTTTGAACACAACAGACAATGCAACTGCTCAAAACACAAATGCCAACATCCCACAAACATTATCATATGCCCAAGTTACGCGTCAAACACCTGTTGAATCTAACTTTTACAACCCAGAACTCGCAGAGTTAAAAGAAATGATGAAAACATTGATAACACAAATGTCAGGAATGATGAACATTTTAACGGCGTTGGTCACAAAAATCAATGGGTAAGTTCCATAAATTAAAAATAGTAGCATGGAATGCAAACGGTATAAGTAGACATATCAACGAATTGAAAACTTTTCTGTACTCAAATTCGATCGACATACTATTAACCTCAGAAACGCATCTCACTGAAAAAAGCTATGTTAAAATAAAAAATTACACAATATTTCAAACCAATCATCCCGACGGAAAAGGACACGGTGGAACTGCCATCTTCATAAAAAACTGTATAGTTAGCCCAAAATCAGAAAATCATAGTACAGAACAAATACAAGCGACCACAGAAAAGATTGAAGATTCCTATGGTCTATTAAAATTGTCTGCTATTTATGGTCCTCCTAAGTTCTCAAATACCAAAGTCACGTACTTAAATTTCCTCAAATCTCTTGGTCAAAGATTTATAGTCGGAGGGGATTTCAACGCAAAAAATATGCTATGGGGTTCACGTTTAACAAACGCAAAGGGCAAAAATCACTACACCGCACTGAATGAATACAAAGCAAAATTTATAGGTACTGGTGAACCAACGTACTGGCCTAGTGACCCAAGAAAGCAACCTGATTTGATTGACTTCTTTATAACAAAAAACATAAATGTAAGTAACCTTTCCATTCATTCCAGCCTTGAGTTGTCCTCTGACCACTCACCGATAGTACTAGTTTACAGCGCAACTCTTACTATAAACAATACGAACATTAATACTTACAATTATAAAACATGTTGGGATACATATCGCGAGATAATAGAAGAACAATTAGTTATAAATGTAGCTCTAAGAACAGAAGAGGAAATAAATAATGCAATAATCAATTTCAATTCTCTACTATTATCTGCAGCATCTGCATCTACACCAATAACAAAAACCAAAAATGTAATACCTGTCCCGAATCATATCAAACATAAAATAGAACAAAAAAGAAAGTTGAGAAAAATCTGGCAAGTATCTAGAGCTCCACAAATAAAGACAAAGTTGAATAAATTAACAAAAGAGCTGAAAGTTTTATTAGAGGCTGAAAGACAAAAAAATGTATCAAATTTTATATCAAGATTGAGTGCTACAAAGGTTACAAACTATTTGAAAATCTTCTTTTATCCCGACTTGAACCAATAATACAAGAAAACAACCTATTGCCAAATCACCAATTTGGATTTCGTAAAAAGCATTCTACTATTCAGCAAATTCGTGGGGTGGCTAGTAAAATTGCAATGAATATAGACTCTAAGAAGATCACTGTGGGTGTGTTTTTAGACGTAGCTAAAGCATTCGACAGCGTCTGGCACGAAGGATTGCTTTACAAACTATCAAGAATATTGCCGGCCGATTTTTATTTACTACTGAAGAGCTACCTTAAAGATAGATACTTCTTTGTACAATACCAAAACGACACATCCCACATGATAAAAATAGAAGCCGGTGTCCCTCAAGGGAGTGTATTAGGTCCGATCCTATATCTATTATACACTGCAGACATTCCTAAGCCTAAAACTGGAGAAATACTAACTGTAACGTTTGCTGACGATACTGGACTTTTATCAACGAACCATGATATCACTAAAGCAACTCAAAATCATCTAAACGAAGTGATGCATTGGTCTGACACCTGGGGGATAAAGATAAACGCCGAAAAAACTGTCCAAGTCATTTTCACTAACAGAAAATTTGAAGAACAGAAACTAAAAATTGTTAACAATGATATACCAATCTGCAAGAAAGCCAATTACTTGGGTATGCTATTAGACCAAAAGCTGACTTGGAAGGAGCACATAATTCAGAAGAAAAAGGAAGCTCATCGAAGATTTGCATATCTATATTGGCTTCTTGGTAAAACTTCCAGTCTGTCAATAGATAACAAACTACTAATTTACAAAAGTATTATTGTTCCGATTTGGAAATATGGAATTGAAATATGGGGAACCACCTGCAAGACTTATATAAATACTATTCAAAGGCTCCAATCAAAAATCCTGCGTACGATAGTAGATGCTAGATGGTACATCAGAAACGACGATATTCACAAAGACCTGAATATCCCTACTGTACACGAAACAATTCAAAAAAGCAGTGCTAACCACTTATCTAAATTGCTTCAGCATTCAAACCTAGAAATGAGAAGACTCCCTGCCCTGGAACTAGGATACAAAAAACGTCTTAAACGTACACTCCCAACATACTTAAGTATAAAGTATTAAATTAAGCTTACTCTAATTTATGTTTATTAAGTTATTATTATTATTTATTATTTAACTTTTTTATTTATTTATTATTTATTTATTTATTTTATTTACTTATTTATTATTTATTCTCTTTTTACTTTAATTATTTATTTAATTTATTTACTTATTTATTTGCTTATGTACTTATTTATCTATTTATTTATTTATTTTATTTACTTATTTATTGACTTATGTATTTATTTATCTAATTATTTATGAAATATTTTGAAATTTTATGAAACATATCATTATCATTAACATGTTATCTTAAATGATGATTTAAGATAACTGAAACTTCCAAATTTTCATTTGTTAAAAGTATTACTAGATATCTAAGATAGTTGTAATATTAATGGAAAATAAAAAAAAAAAAAAAAAAAAAAAAAA